GCATCTTAGTATATAGTACCCGGTTTCTGCTGATAATAGGACATGGGAGACAGAGCATCACTTTATTGCCAGGTCCCAGCCAAGAACAACAAGGGAAAAGAAATTGCCTTTTAAAAACCCTGCAAAATGTTTATGAATTCTAATCCTCAGCACATGAATAAATACATCTGACAAAGTGCAGAGTCCCTTACCAAGGCCTTGCCTGACCTTCCTAATTTGAGTTCAATTACATATGTAGTGTTTGGAAGTCCAAGTCAGCCCTGCCAGTGTTTACAGCTCTGGATCTAGGTATTGTTATTTGTAAAAAAAAAAAAATCCCACATAATAAGTCATAATTGCCTAATTAATCACCTCAAGAGGGAGCATTGAGGGAAGGTGGGATTTGAAATAGCCAGAACTGGCATTTGAAGGAAGCTGTCTTTGGTACATTATCTATGGAGGGGACTCAAAAGCAGCTATGAAAAGGACATGCAAAGAGGGATTCAGTGAGGGCTCAACCCAATGCCTGGAACATAGTAGGTACTTAATTAATGCTGGATGGCTGATTGAAGGTAGGAATACAGTACATTTTATACACTTTTTTAAAGGAATGAAATTTAAAACTTTGCTCTTACCAGGCTGCAAGTCACAATGACCTCTGAACTATAGGGGGAAAAATATAGAAAAAACCTGGGGTTGGATTATAAATTATATTGTCAATGGACGTGAGAATAACTCTTTGTTTCTTGACTTGTTTCAAGAATGGTGCTTTCATTTCCTTTTCCCAATGAATTATAATGTATATACAGACTTGTGCTTATCTTCCATTTTTCATTTTAAATTTCTTTTATTTGATTAGCCAGCTCTGCTGCCCTTGAAGGAGATAGACTTGAAAGAGCAAACAGACTTTCCAATTTGAGATTACCTAATCCATCTTTTATCCAAAATGTCTTCGTGGGAATTCAATATTCCAGGGCCATGCCCTTAAGAACACTCTAGGGAAATAAAGCACAAAAACACAAAGAGTATTTCTAAATTTCTTCACTCTCTAGACCATGACTGAACAAATTTTGGGCTATGTCCACATAGTGAAAGAAAACCCAGTGGAAAACAATGAAGATGGCATTTTGGGCATTGAGTCAGATCAAATTTATGGTTTATATGTCATTATTTAATACTCTGTGTCTGTGTGTGTGTGTGTGTGTGTGTGTGTGAGAGAGAGAGAGAGAGAGAGAGAGAGAGAGAGAGAGAGAGAGAGAGAGAGAGAGAGAGAGAGAGAGAGAGAGACTTAACATAGGCAATTCCACTGCCACATGAAATTGAATGCATAGATAAATACATCATGCAGTTATCATTTGGTCAGCATAGGTTTCCCCTCCTGGGAGGTGTTCAAGGAGAAGCTATACAGCAACCTGCCCATTATGTTATGGTGGAGATTCCCTTTAAGAGTATGTTGGACTAGATGGGCACTAAGGTCTCTTGTAATTCTCAAATTCTATGATTCTGTGTGTTTTTTTTCCCCCACTGATCTAGATAGCAACTCACTTGTAATGAAGAGTCCTAGCTGTCCGAGGCTCTTAAAAGTTAAATGACTTTCCTCTGGTAACAAAGTCTGCAATTATAAGAAGTAGCATTTGATCCCAAGTCTTCCTAACTCCAGGTCAAGCACTCTATCTATCGTGCCATGACATCTCTCTACAGAATACATAGATCTATGGATTAATCACCATTTGTGTGTGTGCCTATGTATACACCTACCTATACATTATGGGGAATGGCCAATTAGGGACAAGTCCAGAAAGGATGATCATATTTGCCTTTCCCAATGGGTTATATGTGAAGATAGTTTCTAGTTTCTTCTACTCCAACAAGAAAGTAGACGTTGAGGGCCTACTTTTGTTGATAAGTAACAGTGGTTGGTCCTGTGGGATAAAGAAGAGTTTTCTGTCTAGATAGAGACAGAGGGCTCAGTCTCAGGAGACACTGAGCAGGAACTGACTTCACATTAAAAAAAAAAAAGGATCAATACGCCTATCCTTAAACCTTTTTCACTTTTCCTTTCTGATCCAGATAGTGATTGAGGTAAGAACTGTTGTGATCTGCTGTGGGTGGGGATAGAGGTAGTAGCTAACATGTCTTCCACCTGGCTGCCATATGTCTGGGAGCTAATGGCATCTCTGTTTCTTTTGTGCTCACTGTTCTCTGGTAATAGATGAACAAGCTTTCTAATATCACGGCACTCAAGCAACCTGCTTGACCCAGACTGGAAGGGAGTTGACTCATCAGCTGAGACACAGCCCTTCAAGGAATCAGCTCAGCTGAGCAAAGGAATAACTCATCCATCACCAAGGTAACCTCTAAAAGAAGTTGGTGGGGACTCTATGAAGGAAGAAAAAAGACCCCTAAGGCCAGGATTCACAAGGCATAGCTTTCCTCCACATGTTTCCTACATGTGTGCCTCACTGCTTTTATACTTAAATGTTCAACCCTATATTTCCGAAGATTGTGTGCATCCAGAATGGAAAATACACCTCCATTTCATTTCTTTTTAAGCTTATATCCCTGCTATATCATCTCAGCAACTATCCCCTTTGTAAAAGGTAATCAATATGAAATGGTTGGTAAATATTGGGGAACACACCACATAGGCACTCATGATTAACAGTATGAGAAAACCCAACCTTGTGGGGTTACCCATAGAATCCTGAGGGGAGAAGTAGCCATTGTCTTCTGGGAACCTAACATGCTAATCTAATGTAAGTTGGGAGAGTGAGCCCAAAGATAATTACATACTTGTGAATGTATGTATGTATGTATATATATATATATATATATATATATATATATATATGTACACGCATGTGTACATAAGTTTGTTGTTGTTCAGTTATTTCAGTTGTGTCTAATTCTTTGTGACTCCCACTTGGGTTGTCTTGGTAAAGATACTGAAGTGGTTTGCCTTTTTCTTCTTCAGCTCATTTCGTAGATGAGAAAACTGAGGCAAACAAGGTTAATTGACTTGCCCAGTATCACACAGTTATTAAGTGTCTGAAAGCCAGATTCGAACTCAGGTCTTCCTGACTCTAGGCCTGGGGGCCTATCCACTGTGCCACATAGCTATCTATATACATATGTATACAGTTCCAAATGTGTGAGACTATCTTTGACTAATGTTACTTTATATCTCTGCATTTCAGAATTGTTCTGCTTAAAGATAAAAGAAAAGTCAAGTGGCCAAAAATAATTCCATGTGATACACTTTTGTAATCCTCAGCTGATTTCTGAATCCCAATTTCCTACCCCACCTGGACATTCAGAATGGCAAGTAGAATGGGAATTTCCTGACCTCTTAGGAAAATGAATATGGCAGGAGCTAGAAGAAACATGGGTTTCTTAGTCAACTCAATTTAATTAAGAAAAAGTATGTGTGTGTATATGTTGGGGGGAGGTTCATGGACTTGGGCAGCTTGATGATATCTATGGACCCCATCTCAGAACAAGGGTTTAAGACAACTGATAATTATTTTGAACCAGCACTATGAAAGTTGATTTGGAATTTCAGCCCTCTCTTCAACACACAGACCACACAGAGCAGAACCTCCATTCCCACTGGCTACAAAGCCCCACTTGGAAGAGTATGGTTGGACCCAATGAGCACAAAAGAGAGAATCTCCTCTGAATGAGCACACACTGAGCCAATGAAAGCCATAATTTCCTACCACAGAGCTGAAGAAGCTGTTGGCTTTTGCAGCCAGTTAACATTTCTTCTGGGCAGGTCAATCAGCCAGAGAGCCAGAATCCCCAACCTTCTGGGATTTTCTGCACATCTGGCACATGTCCTCACAATGCAAATATCAAAGCTGGTCTAGCTTCTCTGTGATGATTCAATATTTGAAACTGAGAGTCCAATTTAAGAATTAGGGGAGTTTGGACACCACAAGCAGACAAAGAGGGAAGCCACTACAAAGATGCACGATGTGTTTTTCGGTTAGCACACTTTCAAACCTGCAAATAAACCACACTCACTGCAACATTTGTTTTCATCTACTACATCTGCTAACATATATCAATTATATAATTAACATAAAGCAGACACAGCATGGAATAGAGGAAAGAGGACCATTGCCTGTCAGGTCAGAGGACACGGATTCAAATTCCAACTCTTGTCACTTGCTACCTACATAACAAATCATTGAACCTTTTGCGGGGGAGGAGGGGAGAGAAAAACAAGAACAAAAACAAAACCTTTCTTCAACTGTAAAATGAAGCGGTGAAGAGTTAGGTTTCGATCTGGCCAAAAACTCCTTCTCCCTTTCATTTTCTGTCATCTTCAACCATGTCTATCCCAGTGTTTTTCATTCAGGGAACTGTCCTGGGCTCTCTTCTCTTTTCTTTCTTTTGTTTCTCATTTGGTGTTTCATCAGCTCCCATGGATTCAATTACTATCTATCTGCAGAGAATTCTCAGGCCTATTTATTCAGCCTTAATCTCCCTCCTGAGCTACCCATACCTATGAAAATCTTAGGTTTGGCCAAAAAACCAAAACAAACAATTCTAACCTTTAAAACAGCCTGGCGTGAGCCAAGAGCAGAAACAGCTGGAAATATTAAGAAGAACTCTGTCAGGTCCGATTTCCAGATCAAGGCTTTAATTCTAAGAACTATGGATGCCTAGATAAAGTTTCCTTCTTTCTGAGGGTCCTCTAGACATATCTTCTGTGCTCTCTCAATAACTGGATGGAAAGGATTTCAGTGTGGGTTCTATAAGTGGAGTAGCTTCCTGTGGTATGAAAGAAAGAATTTCAAATCTTAGATGATCTAAACTGAGCTATGATGAGAGGCTTGCTTGCTACTCTCCTATAGATCTATGACGCCTGTGAGTGCATATGGAATCAAACAAGGTTACCATTTTTTCCAAAAGAGGAAAATACATTGCTGGGATGATGAGTAGATTCCCTTTGAATCGTTTGTTCCCCACCCCCTCCTCCAACCCTCTGCCCCTGAGACCCTTCATTTTTTTACCTCATTTTCTAGCAGGGCATTCACACAGGCTTCTGATGCATCACAGATGGCAGTGAGATCATGTCCTCCCTCCAGAGCCATCACCACATGTCCATCAGCCACCTGCATCAGTTGCCTTGTCAAATTACCGAAACCTATCAAGAACAAATATAATATTTGAAAATATGAAATCAAAAAACATCAAACGTCCACCAAAATCAAGAATTTCCCACCTGCAGTTTATCTGATTAGGTTCAGAGCCTTCACGCGCATATGGTCCAAGCCCCTTCATTTTATAGACAAGCAATCCATGAAGGATTACGCTCCTTAGGCAAGGTGACACAGTTTGGAAGTGGAAGGCCTGAGCTTTTAATCCAGAGCCATGGATTCAAAATCCAGGAATCTTACCATTACACAATAAACATCCATGATTTCACCTCTGTGAAGAGTTTTCTTTCCTGAGCAGATCATAACCCCCTCATACTTATCTGTGAACAGAGCAAGTAAGCTGTTTGAAGGCAAGGCTTACCTCCTTTTGTGCATCTATTCTAGAACTGGGTTCTTAATAATTATGGCTGATTGCTAGATGCCCTCACGATTTGCTGTGGCCCCCAGAACCGTGTTACTTCCTGAATGGGGAGGATGATTCACCCTGTATTCAGCTTGGCTGGCCATCAAATGAGAGAAGAATAAATATAATTTTTTTAAAAATGGGTTCAAATCCTAGGTGCTACTTACTTGGGATAATTACTACTCCCTTTGGGAATGAGTTTCCTGACCTGTGAAATGATGGTGTTAGACTGAATAACCACGAAGGATCCTTCCAGTTCTCAGTCAGTAATTCTCTCAGCATGAGTTACTGGGCCCATATGTGGAGCATTCCCAGTTGGGTGGGGGCTGTTAGATATTTACCAGACCCTGAACTCTATTAATATCAGCTTCATCCTCAAAATCACCTCCACACCATGATGAGTCCTCAGAAGCAGACTATAACAGAGAGTGCTATGTGATGAAACAGCTTCCTTTATTTCGGTATTGCATCAAACAAATACAGCCTGGTTAGAATAGGAAAATAGACTCTGGTAACTCTGCAAGTGGCACAGAATGTCAGAAAGTTATAAGACATAGCCTCTGATGTTGGATATAGATCAATGAAGACCTTATATAGTTTGGGGGGGTTTCCCATTGATATAAGGAAATATCACTTTGAAAAACCTAATTGATATTAACTTCTCAATGGATGTTGAGAGATATTAATTTGTCTTCAATATTTCCAGAGCACACAGGCTGGGGGTTTTTAGAAATGGTATTGTAGAAGCCATGATCTCTCAGGTATACTTCTAGAGCCCCAAGAGGAGAGGTAGTCAGCCTTGCTTTGGTGATTCAACATGCTAGTCTGACATGGGGTTGACACAGGGACTCCTAGAGCATGCGCTACAGTGAGAACAGGATAAAATGGTCCTTGACATGAGGGGGTTTTCTGTGCCCAGAGGAGAGAAAGTAATACCTAATAATGCTGCTGCTGTTGTTCAGTCCTTTCAGTTATGTCTGACTGTCTGTGACCCCATTTGGGGTTTTCGTGTCAATAGTCCACACCCAAAATTCCTAGACTGCAGGAAGTTGTCCCTGTAATGGACCTCAAATGTCATTAAGCCTAACCCTTTATTTTCACAGATAAGCAAATGGAGGCCCAGAGAAGCAAAATACTTTCCCAATCTTGCAGGACTAGTAAGTAGTAGGGGTAAAATTTGAACCCAGGTCTGCAGACACCAAATCTGGTGGCCATTCCACTCCATTGTGTCCCATCTACATTCCCTTCCAATTTGGAGATCGGGTGACTCAATCACTAAACCTGGAGGTGTCAGTAAACTACTCTGCCCCAACCAAATGGCCCTCAGCCTATTTTGTGATGAGTTAAGAATGATTTCTTATATTTGCAAATTGTTTTCTTGTATTTAAAAACATTCTTAATTCTTCAGCAGCACAAAGCAGGTAGAGAGTCTGATTCACAGTAGCTTGCCTACTCTTCTACTAACTAAAACAAGGTTCATGTATATAAGGGAGGTCTGAAAACATCACTGTCCCATACTGCAGCCACTCCCTGCCCCTCACTTGTGACAGTGGTGAGCCTCTCACTGAAGGTCTTCAGGAAAAGGCTGAATGATGGATGTGGGAAAACATTGAAGAAGAGATTCTGTGTTTGAGATGAAGATGATAAGGCAAATTCTCTGGTGCTTCCTATTCCTGAATTATTGATTGGTGAGAAAAGTGAGACGCCCTAAAAAGAAACTGACTTACTCAAGGATAGTATTAAGTGTAATAGTCAGCATTGGAACCCATGTCTTCTTACAGCAAATCCACTGGCTTTTGCATTACACCTGTGCTCCTTAGAGTGGGTCTGCCTTCTCATATTTATGTTTTATCATGAGATGGAACCCCTGTGACTATGCTCACAGTCCTAGGATCTCTTTCATTCCATCCTAATACTTCTGCACGATACAAAGTTTTTCCCAAGTATTTAATACTTGACAATCCAAGTATTTAAAACTGGAAGAAACTTTGCAATTCATCTAAATGCAGATGAAGACACTGAGGCAGAGAGAAGTGACTTGCTCAAGATTACACATTTAGTAAGTGAGGGGCAGGACCAGATTTCTAGATCTTCAATTCGGCCATGTTTTAGAAGGCATTTTTCCCATGAATTAAGCCAGCCAGGACTTTACTGACATATTTAAAGAAGAAATATTAATACATCAAACTATTCCTTGTGCTGAAACTTCCTACCAATTTAGGTTTTGATCAACTAAAGTCATTACTAAGAGGTTCAAATTACATATGGGTTGAATAACAAAGAAAATCCCCAACCTCTGATTTAAGTTCACCCTTTCCCCTTAAAATGAAAAAAAAATCTATAAAAGACTAAATTTAGATGGGATAATAAAAAAAATTGGAGGCCAGAATGGAATGAGGATCACCTTTGATCTTCAGCCAATTTCCACTTTCTTTTACCTACAGGGCTTATTTCCACCCACATGTTACACATGTGATTTTAGGGTAAGAGAATGAGGCAGCAGGATGTTGAGCTCTGCCCTCTACAAAACGTCCCGGTACAAAGAGACACCACATCCTCTCTGAAGTCCCAGGATGCTCTGCTGCCCACCCTTACCTTAGGAGTCCAGGTTAAGGGACCCTTCCTCTGTCTCACAGACCACAGGTCTCTGATCAATCCATGGCCACTGCTAACATCAACAAAATGTTTTGCAAGATCAAGTCAGCCAAGCTCACCACAGTATTAATTTTTTTTTTGGGGGGGCTGCTGAGAGGCCATGGCTGAAATATATTGTTTTGTTTTATTGTTTGCTTATGGTCAAATATCACCAAGAATTCATCAGAATATTCTTGGACTTTCCATTCTGCATTCCCCTGCCCCCCAGAAAAATTCAGTTAAATCAAGAAAACATTTCTTAAACATGACAAGCACTGAGCTAGGCATTTGGGTTACAAAGACAAAAGCACGACACTCCCTGGCTTTAAGGAGTTCACATTCTGTAAGGTAAAATCTGTATAAGAAGCAAAGTGTATACAAAGAGATTTCAAGAAGAAAAGGATTAACAATTGGAGGGATAAAAAATGTCTCATATAGCAGGTGACACCTGGGCTTAGAAGGGAGCTAGAGATTCTGAGAGATAGGGGTCCTTTGGCAATCTGATGAAAATTACAGATCCCTTCTCAGAATCATGTTTTCAAATGCATAAAGTAAGATAGATTGGTCTTTAAAGAAAACCAATCACATTGAAATGAATTACCAAACACCTTTTAAAAACCAAGTTCATGGACCCTAGGTTAAGAAGCCCTGGATTAGATGGTCTACCTCTAATCCAATGATTCAAACAATTCATCAATCAGCATGTATTTATTAGACGTCTACCATGTGCCAGGCACTGGCCTATATGCTAACAGAAAAGAGAGAAATCTCTCACTACAACTACGTGACAATATTATTTTAAAACATAGTTGATGCTTATTTACATTTCTAGTATCATCTAATAGGCATCCGTACGATACCGTTCTTACTGGTTTACTAGAAAGGGTCATTACATCTCCTATAGACTTAAGTTAACCCAGAAGTTTGCCAGGCTGGAATGAAGCCATGAGTTAGGTAACAGGGCTCTCATGATGATGCCCTGGCTGAGCTGGTGGGGTGTGGAAGGAAAGTGAGGGCCCCTGTGTTCACTAAGACTAATGCTACCAAGATGTATAACAGACCCTTGGACCTTTCTGACTCTGCTGTGACCTTATCTTCCTTTCGGAAAACTTCATATAGTGAAGAATTATTAGAATGGAAAGAAAGAGATCCTAGGACTCTGAGCATAGTCACAGGGGTTCCATCTCATGATAAAACAGAAATATAAGAAGGCAGACCCACTCTAAGGAGCACAGGTATAACGCAAAAGCCAGTGGATTTGCTGTAAGAAGACATGGGTTCCAATGCTGACTATTACACTTAATACTATCTTTAAGTAAGTCAGTTTCCTTTTAGGAGGTCTCACTTTTCTCACCAATCAATGGGGTGACCTGGCTGATCTCTAAGGTCCCTTGCATTTCCACAGTTGAAGAGCCTATAAGCAGAATTTAACAACTGATTACTCATACTGAAAAATGCATATTTTCAATCCTAAGTCTTCTGGCACCTCTGAATTACATCAGTATGTAAAATAAAAAACAAACGTGCAATTTCATTGGTGTAGAACTTGCTTCTAGCAGAATCACCACCCATATACAACTTAGTAGATAGGTACAAGAGAGTGCCTAAAGCCCAGAGAAGACACGTTATTGTTCATTCATCACAAAGCTAGAGAGGACAGGGGCTGGGAGATCAACCCAGGTCCAGAACTCAATCCATGACTCCCCTTTGTTAGAACTATGAGGGGCAATTTTTACACCTGGGCCAAGGAGCACAGACCAAACAGACCAGACAGAAACTGTAGTTCACAGAGCACTGGTATTGGAGTCAAGGAGACCCGAGTTCAAATTTGCCCTCACATACTTGCCAGCTATGTGACCCCAAGCAAGCCACTTAACCTCTTTTTTGCCTCAGTTTCCTCAACTGCAAAAGGGGGATAATAATGGCATTTACCCATCAGGGTGGTTGTGA